TGCCTGGCCATGCTCTCCTCTTTCTCCTCTCCCCCCACCACGTTCTGCATCCACTCAGTCTCACAATCTTTTACGTGCTGGAGGGGAAACAATGGGCTCGCCATTCAGTTCAAGACCCTCGGGAGTGTTGCTCCAGTCTGACCGTCTCTCCTGGTGGGCTCTCTAGAATCCTGAGGTGCACTTTGCGGTGGGCATTCCCTCGATGGTCCGGTCATCACGTTATTGTATTTTTTTGGTTACTTTCTGGCTTCCCTTCACACTAAGAGCTCCACTAAGGCAAAATCATTCATTTCTCCTGCTTCTGGGTCCCTGTCAGCCACACAGTAGGCCCTCAATAAATGTGGTGTGGATGGCTGACTGAATGGGTGCAGTCAGGAGGTGCTGAACCAAGGAGTCTTTGGACCAGAAAGCTCCAGACTGGGGTCTAGAATAATCCTGAGCCCTGTTAGTTCTCCTGGGAAGCACAAGGAAGACCAGGAGAGTCGCACGGTGACTGTGGAAGCAGCAGGTGGGGACTGAGTGGAGTGGAGAAAGTTGAGGGGTGCGCAGGCTGCCTGCCTCTCACGTGTGGAGAGTCTGGGCAAACCCCTGTGCTCAGCCTGGCTTCTCTTCATGCTTCCTTTCATGAAGAATTTTGTTTAAGCCTGGTGGTGGTGGCGCATACCTTTAATCTCAGGAGACAAAGACAGCAGATCTCTGTGACTGCAAGGCCAGCCTGGTCTACAGAGCGAGTTCCAGGACAGCCAAGAGAAACCCTGTTTTGAAAAACCAAAAAACAAGAATTTTATTTAGAATTATTTTATTTTATTTGAGTGTTTTGTCTGTATATGTGTATGCATGTGTATGTGTGTATATGCATGCATGTGTGTATGTATATATGCACACATGTTTATGCATGTGTATATGCATGTGTGCATGCATATGTTTATGTATGTGTATATACATGGGTGTATGCATTGCGCATACATGTGTGTATGCATGTGCATGTATATATGCATGTGCATATGTTTGTGCTTATGTATGTGCATATGCATGTATGTGTGTAATCATGTCTGTATGTTTGTGCATGTGTATATGCATGTGTGTATGTGTGTGTATATGTGTGTGATCATGTGTGTATGTATATGAGTATGCATGTGTGTAGTGTATGTGTGTATGTGTACCCTCTTCATACCTGGTGCCTAGGGATGCTAGAGAGGGCAGTAGATCCTCTGGAGCTAGAGTTATAGGCAGTTGTGAGCCACCTGATATGGGTTCTAGGAATCAAACTTGGGTCCTCTACAAGAGAAGTATGCATTCTTAATCACTGAGCAATCTCTGCAGGCCACTGCTTCCTCTCTTGAATGCAGTTTAGATGGAAGTTTCTGTCCCACCCAGTTCCATAGTCATTTAGTCTCAAAGAAATACACAGAGGTTTATATTAATTATAAACTATTTGGCCTATTAGCGCAGGCTTATTATTAACTAGCTCTTACAATTTAAATTAACACATAATTCTTGTCTATGTTAGCCATGTGACTTGGTACCTTACTCATTGAAGCATTCTCCTCTTGCTTCCTCTGCGTCTGGCGGTGACTACAGACTGAGACTTTCCTCCTCCTAGGATTCTCCTTGTTTGGTTGTCCCACCTATACTTCCTGCTGGCTACTGGGCAATCAGCGTTTTATTAAACCAGTACAAGTGACAAATCTTTACAGGGTACAAGAGCATTATCCTACAGCAACTAGGCACCTGGCATTATGCTCTGTGACCTCATTTAATTATCTCAGTAGCACTGAAAGAGAGAGAGAGAGACATTATCCCCATTTTATATGAGGAAACATGCTCAGAGAAGATAAGTAACATCCTCGGAGTCACACAGCTGAGAAAGAGTACCAGGACTCAAACCCAGGGCTTCCTGGTCTGTGGATTCCCGGCTGTATGAGAAAAGTTGCTGGAGGATGTCCTATCTTGTTGGACCCTGAGTCAAGCTGCCTTGCAGAAGTGGGCTGGAGGGTAGGGGTAGCAGACACCTCAAGGAGACCCAACTTGCTATAGCTGAGGTGGTTTGATTCCCTGATCTTAGCAGTGCACAGTCTAGAAGGCAGGAGGCCATCGATGAAGAGTACATGAACTTGCGATCGTGGTATAGAATCACTTCCTGGTTGGGAGGAAAGCTGCTCAGAGGTGCCTCTGTGGGAAGGGGAGCAAGTGTGGGCACAGAATCTAAGACCCCTCTCCTCCCAGGCTTTGTTTCTATTGCTTCCAGGCTGTGGGAACTTGGACAAGACCCAATTCCCTGTGCGTTGGTTTCTCTATCAGCAAAACAAATGGGGAGAATTTCTCCGAAGGTTTGTAGACAACTGCTCTGGTGTTAGGTACCAAGGCCTCTGCACAGTCGCAAGCGCAGGGTCTCCTTTTCTAGCCCCAGACATGTGATGTGGGTTGCTGGGGGCCCCACATCTCAACTGTTGCAGTTGAGAGTAATTCTTGATTCTGTCCTGATCACCAGTGGCTCTGGAGGCAGGACTGAAAGCTATCAGCCATTCTCCACAACTCCCCAAATCAACACAGACACAGAACGGCTCATTTGCCTGTAAATAAAACAGCGATTTCTGTGATTGGAGCTAAATGACATGCTGTCGGGGCTACAGCTCCTTCCCAGGCTCACAGAAATCAGCTGGCAGCCCTGAGGCAGGGGAGGGGGAAGTGGTTGGCTTTTCAAGGGACAGCAGGTCAGAGGCTCTGGGGACCCCTTGGTGCTCCGGGTGCAGGAGAGGAAGTCAGCACCCCTGGGAGGGACCTAGGGGCAGGACTGTGGAGGGCAAACCCAGGGCAATAGTGTTTGGGGTTGGGACCAGCTGTTGGGGGAATCCTGGGTAGACAATGGCCTCATTAAGGAGAGGGCGCAGGCAGGCAGGCAGGAGCTGGGCATGGTCACAGCAAGGGGGAGAATGTGGGGCACTGAGCCTCCCCTTGCTGGCCCAGCCAATGGAGCAATTGTCCTCTGGTAGAAGGGAGCTGGGGTCCAAGCCTGGGAATGGCTGGAAAGTTGCCCTTGGGGCAACTGAAGTGCTCCTTGCCCCTTTGCTGGCCTGGAATGACTCCTCGGCTGGTGGCCGAGAGTTCAAACCTCAGCAGGGGTTGCCGGGCCTGACGGGTTCAGGGTGTGGGTCCCCACATGAGGCTTTCTGGAAAGGGACTCCCAATTCTTAATGGCCCATTTCTGGGGAACCTGGAACTGTTCAGGGTGGTCTCTGGCCTGACCTTGCTGGCTTCTGTGGCTCTGGTGTGGGACTCTACCCTGCTGCTCTGGGCTGGTGGGTCACTTGCAAAGTGGCGGTTGAGCTGGCAAAGCTTCTCAGCTGGGTGGGTAGGTCACTCCTGCCTGGGTGAGGTGAGGGGGGTGTGGTCATCAGGATGCCTGGGCTACCCCCTTGAACTTAGTGGGCAACATCCTGTAGAACCTGTGTGACCGGAGGTTTCCTGTCCCAAATGCGGACAGAGCTCCTGCTGAGATGTATCAAGAGCCCAGGGCTTCTCACCAAGTGACAGAGGTGGTATGGCAGAATTCAGCAGAGAAGAGAGGGGCAAGATGATTAGGGCTGGCACTGAGCCCCAACGTCCCTCCCAGCCGTGAACCCTGCCCCGGGGGGACACCCAGGGCTTTTTTGTAGCCGGAATGGCACACTGGATGGTTCCGGGTGCTCTGATTGGCTAGGCATCTGTTCTGACGGGTCAGTGTTGATTCTGATGGACAGATGGGCTGGGATTGGCCTGGGGCTACTTTGTATTAGCTCCTAGTTCTTACTCCTGGCTTTACCTTGTGTTCCATTCTAAGAGAGGTGGTGGGCAGATCAGGTGTGAAGATTCCCTTCCTGCAGCTCTGAACTGTTGCTGGCTTTCTGGCCCTCCAACATGGCTGATTCAGGCACACATCGTAGAAGGGAGAGATTTTATTTTCAAGCTACACAGCAAGTGGCCACGGTGGAGAGAAGCTGATCGGAACATACACTGATCCCTGGGCCACCTGCAGAGATCCCAACTCAACACCCGTCACTCGTAGGTACTGGGATACAGTGGGCCTTGGACCAGGGTGAGAAACGCTGGTCTTGGAGGTGGTTTGTGTGCATGTGTGGGACCAGAGGTCAAACCCAGGGCCCTGTAGAGGCAAATACTCCACTGCCGAGCTCTACAGCCCATGACTATCTCGGGAAGGCTGCGGCTGGTCCTCTGCTCTGCACCACCTCCTCTGCTGGGCACAGCCTCGCTCCAACCTCCTGCTCATGGGCCTTCTTTGGGATAAAGTCAGAACTCTTCTTTGTGGAAGGTTTCATAGACCCTGGCCTCTCTCCCCTGCCCTGGTCCCTTGTCTCTTATCATTGGCAGTTTAGGTGATTTCACAACCCTCTTATTTGCCCAGTCCCCAGCTCAGTGCCCTGATGGATGACAGGGTCAGGGCACAGTGTGTGCCCCGCATTAAGTGTTCCACCATCTAAGTGACTAGGCACACAGCGGGGAGGTGTTATCACCTTCCTCCTGTGCAGAAGATGGGTAGACAGAGGTGAAGTGGTTGCACAGTAGGGAGGCTTCAGATGGATGTCCCTCTACGGCTCATCTCTGGCTCCTCATTCTCGCCCCTCACTGAGCCTGGTCAGCATTATGAGAGCCGTCTCTCCCACTAGTGAGGACATTACAGGGGGTTCTGCTTCAGGAGAGAGTCCCATGAGACAGCTATTGGGGTCCTAGTGAGGATGACTCAAAGTAACAAAGGGTTTGGGAGTTGCAGACATTGTCTGGTTCCATCCTCAGCACCAGAGAGGCTTCTGCGAACACTCCCTAGTTTGCATTTGAGGACACTGAGGCTAGAGGTTAGCTTCCTCCCGTTCGCCCAGGCAGTATGAGATGGCGAGGTCCAGAACAAAGCGCTGATTCTTTCGTTCTGACTTTCTGTCCTTTTCTCACCGCCCCATGAGTCCAGTGGGCCAAAGTCAGGGAAGCTCAAAGGGCTGGACGGGTCCCTCAGCAATTCACCAAGGAGGGCTTGTGAAATCAGATTGGGGTTTGCTGGAGACAAGGAGGTTGGTGCCTTGCTGACCTGGCTCAGTGACGAGGCAGCTGGGGTCAGGAAGAGGCACATTCTTTCCCCTTAGCTCATCATCCAGCCTCTGGCTTCCTGGAATTTCTGTTTGGGTTCCAAATTACTTGGCAATGAGTTCTTTTCCCCACAGGTCCTGCACACAGGAACGGAGCACCCGTGCACTTCCAAACCACACCCTTTCACACCCTTTCCTAAAGAGCTGGCTGAGAGCAGCCTAGGAGGCCAGTGATCGCCTTGGGTCTGGTAACAGTTTTCTGAGGAAGGCAGAAAGGACGAGGGCTTCTGTGCCCTAAGACCCGGGGTAAGAGCAGCCACTTTCTGTGCCACTTCAGAGCGCTTTGTCTCCTCTCAAGCTTCCGTCTCTCAGCTCATCAAGGCAAATGTAAAGGCACCCTGGTGAGCGGCTTCACTGGTGGATCGCTTTAATTGATTAGTGGGAGATCAAGTTTGCCAGAGATTGTGAGTGGAATCTCAGCAGTGGTGAAAACATTCTCTCCTGCCACTCCGAGTCAGTGGTCACCAGCCACGTGTGTCTGGGGCTATGGCCACTTCAAGTCAGCGGTCACCAGCCATGTGTGTCTGGGGCTACAGCCACTCCAGGTCAGTGACTTCCAACCACGTGTGTCTAGGGCTACAGCCACTCCAAGTCGGTGGTCACCAACCACGGGTGTCTGGGGCTATTGAGTTTTAATGTAATTGTGTTTTAGGGAGATGAGAATAATCTAACACAATCTAACCATTTTAAATTTCTTTTACCTTTATCTTTATTTTATGTGAATTGGTGTTCTGCCAACATTTGCGTCTATACCTCAAATTGTGTTTGATCCCCTGGGACTGGAATTACAGTTGTGAGCCAACCACGTGGGCGCTGGAAGAACAGCCAGTGCTTTCAACCCCTGAGCCCTCTCTCTAGTTCCCTAGCCATCTTAAAATGAGCAGCCCAGTCTAGGACTCTCACAGGATACACAGTCATCAGCCATCTCTTCAACCTAGTTGTGACCCTGTTGTCATCTTCAAAAGAAACCCTGCCCACTGAGAGTTTCCCACTGTCTCCCACCCAGATCTGGTAGCTGCTTTGACACTTCCTGTATCTATGGCTTTGCCTGGCTGGCCATGCTTCGTACAAATGTCCGTCAGTGTGGCTTGCCCGGCTGGCTTCTTTCTCTTAACTTGATGCTATGAAGTTTGTTCATGTCATAGCATGTGTTGGTCCTCTCTTCTTTCTTTAATGATGGCTGGTGGCTATTGTATCGTACAACAGAAAGGCTGATATTCTTTTTTTTTTAAATTTTATTTATTTATTATGTATACAATAGTCTGTCTGCATGTATGCCTGCAGGCCAGAAGAGGGCACCAGATCTCATTACAGATGGTTGTGAGCCACCATGTGGTTGCCGGGAATTGAACTCAGGACCTTTGGAAGAGCATATAATGCTCTTAACCACTGAGCCAACTCTCCAGCCCAAGGTTGATATTCTTTAAGACAAGAGAGGGAGCGGGCCTCCCTGTGCTGGCTGTTCCCTGAGGGGACTCCGTGGGACAGTAGAATGATCTAGAGAATTAAAAGACTAAAGATGGTGCCTGGGAACCCCTCCAAAGAAGTCCAGAGCTTTGCCTGGTGACAGGCATGTCGGTCATGTGTGGAAGTCTTACTGAGGCCCAGCACTGGGCTCTGTATGATGTAACTATTTAATACTGGCAGAGCCACTTAAAATACTTTTAATTATGTATACTTATGGATACTATGTGATTTGTTATTATATAAGTCTTTCTGAGACAGGGTTTTCCTATGTAGCCCAGGCTGGACCTAAGCTCAAAGCCTTCCCAGGAGCTGGGACTCTAGGCGCGTAAGGACACATTCAGCCGTCACAGAGATTTGTAGCTAGAGCTTCCTTCCCATCCCTGCCTCACAGAGCAGGAGGGAGACTGAGTCTCAGAGTGCTGAAGTAACTCAGTAGGTCACGTAGCCGGTATATGGCCGGCCTATGATCCTGAGTCCGGCTCTTGCTGAGGCCAGGGATCTTCATCAGAGCGCGCTCCCCCTCCACAAAGGGAAACCAATTAGGGACTCAGTCCCCTCCCCCCAGCTTGAGGCAGGGTTTCCCAGCTCTGCATCCTGACAACCTTTCTGTACTTCTGATGGGACCTGGGCTCCTTGGAGAGATAGGAGGGGTGGCTCACGGGCTAGGGAGTCGTCTCTATCTCTTTCCCATTGTTTATCAGTGACTAACCTGGCTGTGCCCTCGGAGGTCCCCACTATTAATTGATCCGGGAAGGGGCTCTGTTAATTGCTGACTCAGAATAAACAGGGCTCAGAGAAATGGGGCTGATAGCAGAGCGAGTCCCTCAGCAGCACTGCCCTTTGCCCTCTGGGAAAGGGTGGTGGGAAGGGCGACCGACAGCAAGTGGGAGGTGTGCTCCTGGGAATGGCTTGGGGGTGGGGGATGGGAACTGGCTTCCTGAGGCTCCAAAGAGTTACTCTGTATGTCCTTCTGGGAATACCATCTGGCTGGGCTCCCCGTGTGCCATACCCTGTCAAAGGGTTTGACATGACAGCCAGTATGACTCTGATAGTCACCTCTTCTGCTCCTCCCTGTATCCATCTACCCTTCCTTCCTTCCTTTTCAACATCTTCTCGTTTTCCTTTCAACTCTTCTCCCCCTTGGGCCGTTCATGCGTTTTTTCTGTCTTCTCATTAAGTCAACTATTCTTTTCGTGTTCAATTTATTCGTCCGAAAGCCCGTGTTTTCCTTGTAACCCTCCGCTGTCTTCATTAATCACCATTGTCTTCTCTGTCTTCATCTTTCCTTCCACTGCAGAGTGACCGCGTGCTTCTAGGGAAGAGAATGATGGGGTCCTTCAGCCAACCCAGCCTTGGGGTTCTGAGCCTGGGTCCTACACAGTCCTGACCGAGTTAACAGTCTGACCTCGGACAAGATGTACACTCGCTCAAGGTTAAAGTATAAAACTTTATTCCTTTAGAGTAGAGACCAAAGAACTTACTGTCCTAACAGGACACTTTAGTCCTAGTAGCCACCCTCCTAGTAGCCACCCACCTGGGCCATGAGTGACCTCAGAATGTCTCGGGCAGAGCAGAATGCTCAGCCATCTTTCCTTGGCCCCAGCCTTGATGATTCTGGCCTCTTTGTCTCCAAAGCCAAGACTGGATTTGGGGGTGGGTTAGTGAGTAGAGCATACTGGGCCCTTGGTAAGAGTTGGGTGTCTGACCTTCCTTTGTTACCTCAGAGCCCACACTCCCACATAACGAGAGTTGTCATGTGTGAAGGGATTTGCTACAGCCTCCCCCAGACAGACCCTTACCCCTGAGCCTCAGGTTATTTGGTAAAGTAACACAGAAAGCAAGTCTGTGATAAGATGACTTCCAAGTTCTGAACTCTGTCTGCAGGTGAGGCAAGAAGCTGCGGGAAACAGGTGGGTTCCTGGTCACTCTCTTGGCTAAATGTATGCGGTTTCTCCAAGAAGGAGCAGCGGCAGCAAGAATGATGGGTAATGATGATGGAGCCCTTGTGAAGTGCCAGACATAGTCCTGGGTGCCTAGCCAGTACAGGTGGGTGTGCAAGAGGCCCCTGGGCACAGAGGCCTTTGGGGATCCTAACCTCCTGCTTCTGCCCCACTCCCACCCAATGGAGCTCTCAGGTGCTGTCTGGTTGATTGTATTCACCTGCTTGCCATTACCCCTACTCCTGAACTGCTCTCCTGGGAGATAAGATAATCGCAGCCCATTAATCAAGGTGGTCTGGCACATTACAGGTGCAGATAAGCCCACTCCCGGACTGGCTCCCAGGGCTGGGCCAGTGGAGGTAGCTGGGGAGTTTGGCTTCAGATTCCAATTATCAAGTGTGTGGAGGTGGGGGTAGAGTCTGCCACGGGCATCGGGATGGTGATACGTCGGGAAAGGCAGGTTAATTGAGAGTCTGGAGATCTGACTGTCCCCGCTCCGTGTCTTTAGGTACACAACACCTCTCTGGGTCTCTGTTTCCACCTGTGAAAAAAAGGGAGGAGGGGACAGGGACCGCATGAAAGGCCCTTGGAGTCTGAAGATGCTCTGTGGTGGCCAGCATAGGGTGGTGAGGAGTGGACTCACTTGTTGCAGGAATAGGGACAGAGGGTTTGTGTGGGGGGAGTGCCTGCCTTGGCTAAGGGACAATGTATTGGATGGGATTTATTTTCCTGTCATGGGAAGGGGGTGGATGGTGGCCATACAGGCTGTGTGACAGTGTGATGGGGTAGAGAATGAATAGTGGGTCGTTGTACACTTTGGAGTCATGTAACAACCTAGTTAGGTTCTGGATAATGGAGTTTGATAAGGCCCCAGTTCCGCTACTTTTCCTGCGCAGACCTTGAGTGGGTCACCCAGCCTCTGTTCTTTTAATTTTCCCTTTTAGGATTATATGAGGATGGCGACAGACTATGGTCTGGCAGGTTGTACCAGGAAGACCAATGCAGCATCCTCAGCGCCATGCCTGGCAGGCCACGGGCAGCAGGTGGCAGGTGCTCAATAAACACTAGTTTAAAATGCTTTTTATTAATTCTTTCCTTCTTGGAATGGTCCAGAGGACCTGGGCACCCTCAGGTGTGTATTCTGTGGGGCCAGGACTATGCTAGCCCACTGAACAACTGTTGACCAGAGGATGCTAAGTTTAAAGTGTATTAGTCACTATTTTTTAAAACTTAGTCTCATGGCCTCATTGGTTGTAGTGGTCATGAGTTCATGAGCAGCTTAGTGGGGTCGTTCTGACTCAAGATCTCTCATGAGGTCAAGGTCAACATGCATGTCAGGGCTGCAGTCATCCCAAGGTTTCCTTGAGGCTGGATGTTCTGATTTCAAGCTCAGTTATGAGGCCCTTGATTAGAGAACACGTAAACAGCTCGTATCCTCCAGAGCATGGGAGGAAGTGAGCGTGGACGGACTGTGGTCCTCTCTGCTTGCTCTGGGGTTGCCAAGAAGCACTAGAGACCCATCACTAAGTCCAGCTCACCCCAGGGCAGGATACCTTTCTGCGCCCAGATGCTCTGAGCTAGAACGGGCATATATTGTCTTTAACCTCACACCTGAGTCAGGAGGGCTACTTTTCTTTTGCCGATGAGACTTGGTGGTTTAGAGACGGTGAGGGATCTGCCCAAGGCCACCCAGCAGGGATAGCTGAGGTAGCATCTGGTCCTCAGGGCTTGCCTTATTTGCCCACCCCAGCTGAGCCGCGTCTAAGGCATCTTGGCTCTGAAAGACACAGGACCAGCTGAGAAAGCGTGCGTCTCCCTTGGTTATGGAATTAGAAATAATAGATGAGGCTCAGGGCAAGTGGCCCGAGGGAGCTGTGCTTCTCTGCTGCCATCACTTTCTGCAGGACGGCTGCCCAGGAAGATGAGGACAGTATGGCGGCATGCATGCTACCTGTTATTATCGGGACGGGACTAGCTGGTGCCAGGGTTGGCTGCCTGTCCTTGGAGGACTCTGTTTTCTTGGCAAAAGCAGTGTCTCCTTTTCAATCTGGGATCTCCCAGTCAGGCTTTGCTCAGCTAACTAAGAAGACTCCGTGGCCAATCTTATGGTTAAAGGCTGGAACCAAAAGTCTCAGGACAGGAGGTCCCTGACTGGGGTGGGGTTCAGGTCAGACTCCTTTCCTCCCTCACTGCTCATCGTTTTGTCTCTTCCTAGGCTCAGGAGGTGCTTCAGGAGCTCCCTATCATAGCCTTCTGCGGCTGCCTTCCCAGAGGATGACTATTTGGATGTTCAAGCACTTCCCAGTTTTACCACCAGAGGGAGCAGCTGCTGTGTCTGGGAACTGGGAGATTCCCAGCTAGGGTGCTCTTGTCCTGGAAGCTCTTCAGCCCAGATACTGGCTGGACTGGGGTAAAATATATATTAACCATCCATCCGTCTGTCCGTCCATCCACCCACCCATCCACCTACCCACTCACCCATCCATCTATCGTGTGTGTGTGTGTGTGTGTGTGTGTGTGTGTGTGTACACAGATCAGAAGTCGGTCATAGGCAAATCCACTGGAGATCCTGGAGGAGCAGGCCAACGCTGTCACTTAATCAACTGTGTGACAGAATCAAAGGGATTCAGCTCTACTTTTACTTGTAAGTTTTTTTTTTTTTTAAGACAAAGTCTCACATAGCCCAGGCTGGCCCCCAACTCAATATGTAGCAGAAGACGACCTTGGGTTCTGATTCCCCTGCCTCCACCTCCCCAGTGCTAGGATTACAGGTTTGTATCACACATCTGATGGTACGCATTTCTGGGGACTGAACCAAGGGCTTCATTGTGCTAGGTAAACCCTACCATCTGTCCTACAGAGGCCTCAGGCCTCTGAATCTGTTCTTAAATCCAGGAGCGTGTTGTGCTGAAGTTAGGGACACAGACTACACCTAAGTCAGTTGAGTGGTTTGAACACACTCTAGGTGCGCTCAGGGGAAGCCAGCAGGAGGCCTTTCGATAAGTGAAGGAATAAGCCCCAGCGTATTCACACCAAGGAATACTGATCTGCCAGACAAAAAGAAAAGGGATTATTAAACCATGGCGAGTCATGGAAGAAACCTAAACAGCTCAGCGAGATACGCAGAAACCAAAAGGCTGCATACCGGAAAAGGCGGAGCCACGGAGAAGAAAACAGCTGCTACGCTGGTGGGGGTGTGGAGGGCAAAAGGGCGGGGCGCGGTTATGTTAGGGCCGTGAAACCATTCCGTAGACTTGGTTAAGGTGGACACATGTCACCGTGTATTTGTCAAAACTCAGAGTACAAAATTAGAGGGCAGAGCCCTGATGTGAACTTCAGCTTTAAGCTACAGTGCATTGATGCTGGGCTATGAATGGTGTTTGTTATAGTTAGGGACACAGACTGCAGCTGAGTTCAGCAGAGTGGTTCTGAACACACTGGGCAAGGACTGGTCCTGGATCGTGAACTGCTAACGACAGCCACACTGAAGCAAGATGTTAGTATAGGGGCAAGTAGGAGCATTCAAGTTTCCTATAAACACAGATTCCCATTTGTATTTTTTTTTTTTTTCTTTCTTTTTTTGATCTTTCTGTTTTTTTCTTTTTTTTGCTTTTTTTTTTTTTGTTTTTTATTTTTGTTCTTCTTTTGTTTTTTATTTTTTTCTTTTTTTCTTCTTTCCTATTTTTTTCTTTTTTTTTTTATTTTTCTTTTATTTATTTTTTTTTTTTTTTTTTTTGCTTGTTTTTGGTTGGTTTTTTTATTTTGTGTTTATTTTTTGTTGTATTTTTTCTTTTTTTGTTTTTGTTTTTTTTGGGCTTTTTATGTTTTTTTCATTTTAGTGTCTTTTTATCTTTGTGTTTACTTTTTTTTTTTATTTTTTTCTGTTTTTTTTCTTTATTTTTTTTTTATTTTTTTGTTATGTTTTTTTGTTGTTTTTCAGTTTGTTTTCTTTTTGTTTTTTTTTTTTTTTTTTTCTTGTGTTTGTTTTTTTTTTTTTTTTTCTTTTTTTTATCATTTTTTTTTTTGTTTTATGTTTTTTTTTATTTTTTGTTTTTTTGGTTTGTTTTTTTTTTTTTTATTTTTTTGTAATTTTTTTGTTATTGTTTTGTTTTTTTTGTTTTTTTTTATTTTTTTTTTTTTTTTTTTGTTCTTTTTTTGTTTCTTATTTTTCTCTTTTTTTCTTTTTTTTTGCTGTCTTTTTTTTTTTTTTAGTTTTTTTTTTGTTGTCTTTTTGTTTTCTTTTATACTTTATGTACATTTGTTTCATATTTTTTTTTTTATTTTATATATTTTTTTTTTTTTTATTCTCTTTTTTTTTTCTTCTTTTGTTTTTTCTTTGTTTGTTCTTTTTTTTGTCTCTTTTCTTTTCCTGTCTTTTTCTTTCCTTTTTTTTCCTTTTTTTTTTTAATTTTTTCTTTTTTTTTTTTTTTAATTTCTTTTTTTTTTTTTCTTTTTCTTTATTTTTTCTATTTTTTTTTAATTTTTTTTATTTTTATTTATTTTTATTTTTTTTTTTTTTTTTAGTTTTTTTATAGTTTTTGTTTTTGTTTTTTTTTTTTTTCTTTGTTTTCTTTTTTTTTACTTTTTATTTTTTTTTTTTTTTATTTTTTTTTTTTTTTTTGCCCTCTTTTGTTTCACTTTTTCATTTTTTTTTTTTTTTTTTACACACACTCTCTCTTGTGCACACACACACACTTTACACACACACACGCTCACGTGCACACACACACACAACACACTCAGAGGTTTAAAAAAATCTTTTTAAAAAAGAGTATTTTTTGTCCATACCAAAATTGAACAGGAAGTACAGAGGCTTCCAGGTGCTTCACCCCCCTCCGTGCCATTCTGTGTTCCATGACAGAGCAGTGCATCTGTTACAACTGAAGACCTGAGTTGTTTCTCACTAGCATTCAAGTCCATAGTCTACACAAGGGTCGTTTCGTGTTGTCTATTCTATGGGTTTGGACAAACAGATAACCACGACAACATACAGAAGGCTCACTGTCCTCTAAATATTTTCCCTATCTGCCCCTAGCGCTGGCAATACTGGTCTTCTCCGTGAGTTTGCCTTTTTCAGGAGTTGATTTTGCTGGAACCATACAGCAAAGTAGTTTTTTAAAAGGCCGCTTATGGGCCCTGGCCCATAGTGGGGCACGCCTTCAATCCCAAAACTTGAGAGGCAGATGCAGGCTGATCTCTGTGAGTTCTTAGCAAGTCTGGTCTATATAGCAAGTTCCAGGTATACCAGGGGTACATACTAAGAGCCTGCTTCAAAACATGAGTAAACAAAAGAGCTATTTATTATCACTGCATTATTTTATTATTATGTATTTATATTGTTATTATTATTGTGTTCACGTGTGAGTAAAGGTCAGAGGCATCTCCCAGATGCTGCTCTTTTTCTGCACTGTGGGATCCAGGGGTGGGACAAGCAGCACCTGTGAGAGCCTCCAGTTCTGTTAGCGCTTTCAACTTGGACTTAGTTGTTTGAGTGCAGTAATCTTAGTTGTTTTTATGACTTATACCTGAGAACAGCAGCGTTTTGTTTACCTTTGTTATCTGTTGCATTTTACTTCATAAACAGGGTCTCATGTAGCCCAGGCTGGCCTCAATTTGTTATGTAGTAGAGGATAACCTTGACCTTCTGGTCTTGCCTCTACCTCGGGAGTGTCGGGATTTACAGGTGTGCATCACCTTATGTAGTGTTGGGGATCGAATTCAGGGCTCTGCTCTGTGTATGCCAGGCAAGTAGTCTACCAACTGAGCTACCCCAGCCCCATATATTGTTTCTTATCTCAGAGTTAGGAATAATATCTTATACCTAGGGTTCACAGGGAATCCAGAGAATATTTTTATTCTCTTCAGCTGTGGTCCAATCTCAGGACCGGATCGTTCAGAGTAAGAATTCAGAGGTCAGGTTTGCGCTCTGGCTGGCTGGGTTAGGGCAGGGATTCCCTTGCTCACTCTGCCCCCATTCACACACACAGGCTCAGCTCCATGCCGAGTGGGTTTGCAGCATCTTTACATCACAAGCTCTGGGGCTTTCCTGCTCTCCCTCCAGCCCCGAAAGGACCCCAAATCTAGCCCCATTCTAATGTCTGTTTCCAAGGTCAGCAAATGTCCTTGAGATGGATGAAAACAGCGCTACAGCTCCGTGCTCTTTGCCCAGGTCTAGGAAGGTCTCAGCAGCTTGTGGTTTCCTACACGCTCAAGACGATTTTTGGTTCCTTTTCCTTTCGCTATCCTCAGTGGAGAAGTGGCCTGAATTCCCTTGTCTGACCGTGTTTCTGGGCGGAATGAGCAACTGTGGCCACATTCTCCCGAAGCTGCAGGAGGCTTGCTTTTATCAGGAGGGTCCATGCTCTCTAAGGACAAGGTTGAGCCAGGCTTGTCCACTGCACACTCACTCTGTTGGTCCTAGCTGCCTTCTTGTCACAAGCAGTGACAGCCCAGGAGTGGGAGGTTTCGTCTCAGTGTGTCCGTCGCCCTGGGTGAGGAAGTTCCTTCCTGGCTAAGCCTTCAGCCTTCATGTCTTTAAATAGTTTACTTGCGACGTGGGATGAAGAAATGTGCTCTCCTAAGATTATCTCCTAAAACGATGCCTGTATAAATCCGCATCACGTGACCTGGCATATTTAGATACTCACAAATGTTTGGTGACTATTAATCCGAAGCAGTTACATGGCTCCACCGATTTGGTTGTAAATATTAGAGAAGTCCCCAGGTGACAGAAGCTATGGAGGTCTCCCTGCCTCCCCATTCCTCTGAGGAGGAGTTCAGGGCTGGGTAGTGACTATGTGGTTCCCTGCCACCTTGCTTTCCCTCCACCCTTGGTGCTCTGCCTCCCCATTCCAGACGCTACCCATGCTGCACCTGTGTTTTAGTCAGCCGCGGGAGGAAGGGAAAGGCCACTGTCCTCCCACACACGGAGACATTTTAGCGGTCCTACACAGCGTGCCCACTTAATCCCCATGGGTCAGCTCTTACACAGAGCTCACACGGGGCAGCCAGGGAAGCAGAGAATGGTATCTCGAAACCGAGCCGCACTGGGCAGTTCGTAGGATTCTTTTTCTAAGGAAAAGGGACATTGGTAGCGAATCGATTTAAACCCCTTTTCTCATTGGACTTCAGTTTCTCATCTATAGCCATTGGTGGAGGGTTCTATTGTTGAGAGGCACTTGCTTGACTCTGCAGTACTGTCCTATGCCATATGGGATACTTGCTGCCCCTGGATCTTCCTATTAAATACTAGTCACATCTACAGGCGTTGTGATCACCCTAGGGGGCACAGCATCACTCTTGTCTAGCTGGCCCTTCGTGACAATACTTCTACCCTGTTGAGAAGCTGTGGGCAAAGTGATCCTCGGGTCTTGCACTAGTGGCATTCCATGCTGCTCTTGATTCCGTGTTG